ATCCCCAACGCTGCGCCCAAGCAATCCCGCCAATTGCAGATAGCCAACTTGCTTCTCGCTTCGTTGGTCCTCTTATTTGCCGCGCACCTAGACATGGGTACCTCGGCCTGGATGGAACATCCATGCCCTGCGCACTGGGAACCCAGAGCGCAGCCCAGCTGGATATGGAGGCCCCTAATGGCCTTGGCTGCTGCCCCGGCTGTCCGCACCACTGACTTCGACCGGTGCATGTTTCAGCCGTCTTGCCGTCCTCCCAGCGAATTCGGCAAGGCCCCCACGCGCTTGCTATCGCTCCGCCTTCCTTCTCTCCCCGCGCTCCTACTCAACCGCCCCCAAGGGGCCAAGTGCACGCACCCACGGGGGACGCATCGCACACTCCTAGGCAAGGACGAGAATGACCGCTTTTTCACGGCAGACAAAAAGACTTATCCTTCTGCCCTTTGCGAATGCCTCGCCCAGGCCATATACCAGGACGTCATTTTGCCATTTGTTGAAGACCCACAGGACCTTCCCCCACAGGCGGACCCTGCCATTCTGGCCCCACTCCTCCGTTTCTCCGCATCTATGACTAGCGATTTTTGGCTAGGTCCCGACTTCGCTGATCCCTCTGCCCCTCGCACCCGAGCTAAAGTGGATGGGGGGCTGGATCGCTTCCGCAGGCTTTTGGCTCCGACCAGGCCCTCCGAGCCGTGGCGCCATAGCGACCTCCCGTCGGAGGCCCCCGAGACGCTCGGCCCTGCCGATCAGGACTCGGAGGCGGAACAAGAGGCCACGCATTTTTTGGGCACAGCCCCCATTTTTCCCTCCACTCTCCCTCCGCCGCCGCCCCCTCCCTCTCTAACTCTGGATCAGACAAGGCGCATCCAGTGCAATCGGAACCGGGCCAAACAAATCAGGGCTGAGCGCGCCCGCCAAGCGGCGCGCCCCGTCCCGCTCACTGGCATTACCTTCTCTCACATGTGGCATCCTGCTTCGCCCGCCCCGCAGGACTTCAACGCCGACACCTTCGACATTTAGGTAGGCGGCTCATGTCCCGACGGCCGCGGGTGCTGGTGCCTCGAGAGGCCAGACCCAAGCGCCCGCCACCGGGCCAATTTCGCTCCGCCTCAGCTCCTCCCCCCCTGCTCTCACCTGCCCAGTTTGCCCAGGTAGCCAAAGCAGTGCAGCGCTCTCTGTCCAGCACTCCCTCAGCCTCAGGTCCCCCACGCCCGCCTGGCGATTTCAACGGCTCCCCTATGGGACGCGGCAGGCACATCTATGGAGCCACCTTTCATCCTCCGCCACCTCCGCGCGCCTTGCCCCCCTTGCCTCCCCCAGATCATCCCATAGTGCAGGCCGAAGCCGCCATTCCGGAAGGCTGGATCGGCCAGGCCGCCTCTCCTTTTTCACCACCCCTTGCAGCGCGTCCTTCACCTCCACCTCCGCGCGAATCTCGCAAAGTTGCCGCCCCCCACAGGCGCCAGCCGCGCAGGGCCTCCAGCTCGCCAGCGTTTCCTAGAAGGCTTGCGCAGGTAGACGACGCCTCATATTCCTCGGTCTCTTCCCCATTTCCCCCGCAGGATTCTCCGGGGCCAGCTGACCAGCCAGCAGCGCCCCGCGCCTCTGCCACTCGCAAGCGCAAGCAGGTCTCCTTTGCAGACGAGTTCACGGCCAAAGCCCCCAGGGTGGCCTACAATTCGCGCCGACGCACGGAGCCGCGCAAGAGTGCACTCAAGCAGCCTGCGCCACAGCGCCGAGAACCAGCCGAGGCTCAAAGCAGCCCGCAGGAATCCCACGGCCCGGCCTCGCCTCCAGCCTCTCCTCCTCCAAGGCACCATAAGGCTCGCAAGTCTCACCGCGCTGCCCATGCAGCTCCGCGCCCGCACTCGCCCGCCGAAGCGCCAGACGCAGCATCGGACGAGCAGCGCAGTACAGTTCTCAAGGCGCACGAGAATAGAATTGCCCAGCTCAAAGAGGAGCATAGGCAGGACCAGCTCCGTATCGACAGGATACACAGAGAGCGCCTCAAACTTCAGCTAAGAGAAGGCGAAAGCCTCTCGCATTGCGGTCAGCGCCTCTCGCCCAGGCGGCCGCGCAAGCCTCATGAAGGAGGCGATGCTGCCAGGCGTTAAACTTACGCCATGCAGCAGCAATTCAGCCCAGGCCTACCTCTTCCCTCCTCTCCCTCTCTCAGCTTCATTTCCTTCGCTTCTCCCCCCCACAGGCCATGATGCGCGAGCTCAGCACCCTGGGCAACGCCGACGCAGACGAGGACATGCCCGCTGCTGAAGCGGCTCCGGGGAGGCACCTAGATTTGCTTCGCATTATGGAGCGGCTGCCACCAGACTTTCGTAGCGCCTGGCCCTTTTTGGGAGTGCTTGGCTGAGCGGCTTCTCCTGGCCCACCAGCAAGTCCACCGCTTTCTCAGCGGCGGCTCGAGGCGCCACGCTCTCTTACTGTCTCCTACCACTGTGTACCAGCCTGCCTCGGTACCCCAATGGCAAGCTACATGGCAGCTCGAGAGCGGGCCGCCTGCTTTGCCACACGCCCGCGCTACCGTAGGCCCCGAGCTCCACATGGACTTGCCCGATGTCGTTAATCACACAATCGAGCGGTGGTATGGGCGTTGGTGCGAGGCCAATCTCCCAACTTACTCCACATTTATCCTCATTGCGCAGCGGGTGAAGGCCCCTATGCTGCCCGTTTCTCACCCGCTATAGGTTTGGTCACTGTCTACGTGCCCGACCAGATTTTTCTGGACCTCCTCCACACGGGGGCCTGGGAACAGCCTTCTCTCATCCCTCAGCGTCTTTTGGAGGATGCAGCGGCTGGCAGCCCCATCCTAATAGACTTCCAGGCCATGATCCTGGTGCGGCCATTTTGCCTTCCGTTGTCCTACCTCTCTCGAATCCTCCGCCTCCCTGAACCCTAGCCCCTCAGGCCATGCCGACCCCAGATGCGCAGCACCTGCCGCAGTTCGAGCACGGCGACGTCCGCTGCGCCCCCACTGAGGCCGTGCCACCACCGCCTACAGTCGTACAGTGGCTGGTAGTGATTACGGCAGGCCATTCCGCTCTGGTCTCCACTGCCCATCAATGTAGGGCTCCTAATGGAGCAATTTCACGGGCAGGAGACCCGGCTGCCATCCTCTGTGGAGAGGCCGCGCTTTTTTCACCTCCCCATTCTTCAGGAGATCGATGCACGGCCCATTTTATTCGGCACGGGCATACCTTTTCGCACCGGCCTTTCGCTGCGGGTCAACATGCGCAGCGGAACCATCCTCATCCCTATCGACTCCGCACCGGGCCAAGCATGCATCAGTCGGCCCATTAGGAGGGTCCTCCTCACCCAGGCGCACGCATAAGCCAGCTAGGTTTCACTCATATCTGGCCGTTGGCTTATGGGCTATTTCTTTTCGCTCCCTCCGCACTCCCCCTTCTCTCAGCGCGCCCAACGCAGCCATGGCGGCCAGGCTTCCTGCGGGCGGGCGCGCTACGGCGGCGACGGAGGGGACCACGCCCCCGCAGGGGGCCGCGGCCGAGCCTGGCAGGGCGCCGCCCAACGCGCTGGAGCTCTTCGGCCTATCAGGCGATACGCAGTCTGGCTCGGCATGGCAGGGCTCCCAGTACACGGCCGCCACCAGAGAGTTCAAAAAATGGTGGCCAGCCACGTACCCTGGCGAGTGGAAGATGCCAAACGGCATGCTCTACCCGTTCGTGTGGAAGCTCAAGTCGCTCGACGTCATTGATGGCCAGGTCGTCGAAACTTGGGATTGGGAGTGGATAGAGGCTCCAGGCTTGGCGACCATCTCAGAGGTCGAGACCATGCTGCTGGACCACTTCAACCAGCAGCAGGCCGCCGCGCAGGAGGCCCAGGCGCGAGCGGCGGCGTCTGCGGCCGCCCGCGCGGCAGCCGAGAGGGCCCCCGCGCCTACGCCGTTCAACGCGTCGCCCTTCGGTGCCTGAGCGGGCCTTAGAGCGTGCTGCCTCCCAGTCGGCGCCATCCCAGGTCGACGCGGGCGACCTCGGCGCAACTAATAGTGCGCCCTCATAGGTGGTGGGCTAGCCTAATACTCTAGTCTCTGTTCACCTCGGCAGCCCACCACCTAGACAGCCCTAGCCAGCCACGCGAGCCGAATATTTACAGCTGGAGAGCCGTGCTGCTCCAATTTAAGGTCGGCTGAGCCGTCCTGCAATCTCGTCGCAGCGGGCCCTTCAGTTCTTTCATCATTCAGCCCCATTCCAAGGGCCCGCTGCAAGAGTCGTAGCCAGCACCAGTCTCTAGCTTCACACCTCTCTGCCGCACTAGTGCAGCCAACGCGACACTTTTAAGCAGCCCCGCTACCAGAAGAGCGGTCGGCTAATGCTCACACCTCAATTCGCAGACTCGCCACGGCTGAGTCTTCATAGGTGGTGGGCTAGCCTAATACCCTAGTCTCTGTTTACCTCGGCAGCCCACCACCTAGATAACCCCAGCCAGCCACACGAGCCGAATATCTCCAGCTGAGGAGCCGTGCCGCTCCAATTTAAGGTCGGCCGAGCCGTCCTGCAGTCTCGTCGCAGCGGGCCCTTCAGTTCTTTATCTTTCAGCCCCATCCCAAGGGCCAGCTGCAAGAGCTGTAGCCAGCACCAGTCTCTAGCTTCACACCTTTCTGCCGCAACATTGCGGCCAACGCGACACTTTTAAGCAGCCACGCTACCAGAAGAGCGGTCGGCTCAATGCTCACAGCGCAATTCGCAGACTCGCCACGGCTGAGTCGAGGCTGCGGCAAGTAAAAATGCTGCCTCAGCACATCCCTCTTGCCGAGTAACTCTCGGCTAATGCTGCCCATCAGAGGTGCGCACCTCTACGGACAGCTACCGCGCCCTAGTGCTTCTTGGCTGAGCAAGATACTCCCTCTCCTTCCCCAGAGTTCCTCCCTCCCCTCTCACCACGTTAACACTAAGATGCCAAGTGCAGCACAGGCGCTCTCTCACCTGCCCCCCTTACCGGTCACGTGCGTTTCCGATGGGGCTTCCTAGTCTCTTGGCGGCAATGCCAGCCTCTCCCTCCTGGTCCGCTCCGTCACGGCCGCCCTACAGCGCGGCACTGCCATTTTGGCCCTCTTCCTACTCATCCCGCTCATATCCATGGCTAAGCCATGCTCCCAGGTGGCCGTTCCTGAGGCCAGTTTTGCTGCTCTTCGGTCTTTCAGCGCTGCCCGCGTAGGGCAACGCCTAGATGGCGCGCTCAGTGACTCTCGCACGGCACCGATCCCTTCTCTTCATTTTATTCCCCCTCCCTCCCCTTCGGTGCCAATACCTCCCCCGCCCATCATGCAGGTCCAATGGCGAAGAATCGCTTTTGCTTGCGGACGGACCAGGAGCGGAGATCCTTTGTTGTGCCCGCTAGGCGGGCTCTGTCTGCCGCCTGGCCGACCTGCGGCCGCCCCGCTCAAGCTACTTGCAACGAGCTAAGTGCAGTCAAAAGCCTCCCTGCATTTCACCCACCCAGTACAGCGTTTCGTGGCCCCATAGGGAACATTACCGGATGTCCCAGTGCTACCGTCCGCGTGCGTCCCGCACACCCAGTGCAGCGTTTCGTGACCCCCTCCTCCCTCCTCCCTGCGTTTCACCCCAGGGAGCATCACCGGATGTCCCAGTCCGCATGCGTCCCGCACACCCAGTGCAGCGTTTCGTGGCCCCGTAGGGGGCCCCACCGAAGGTCCCAGTGCTGCCGTCCGCATTTTCACCCACCCAGTACACCACCGTCCGCATGCGTCCCGGAAGCCCCACTTGGCATTTTCACACTGTACAAAGTTTCGTGGCCCCATCGGGAGTTCCGACGAAGGCCCCAGTGCCAGCGCCCGCATGCGTCCCGAAAACACAATTTGGCATTTTGACCAGCCCAGTACAGCGCTTCGTGGCCCCATAGAGAGCTCCACCGAAGCCCCCAGTGGGACCGCCCGCACGCGTCCCGAAACACCCTATTTGGCATTTTCGCCCACCCAGTACAGCGCTGCGTGGCCCCATAGGGAGTTCCACCGAAGCCCCCAGTGGGACCGCCCGCGTGCGCCCCAGCACACCCAATTTGGAGTTTTCGCTTACACAGTACAGCGTTTCGTGGCCCCATACGGAGCTCCACCGAAGCCACCAGTGGGACCGCCCGCATGCGCCCCAGCACACCCAAAGTGGCCGTTTCACTCACACAGTACAGCGTTTCGTGGCCCCATACGAAGCTCCACCGAAGCCCCCAGTGGGACCGCCCGCGCGCGTCCCGAAACACCCAATTTGGCATTTTCGCATTCCCAGTACAGCGTTTCGTGGCCCCATACGGAGCTCCACCGAAGCCCCCAGTGGGACCGCCCGCATGCGTCCCAGCACACCCGATTGGCCATTTCCACCCACCCAGTACAGAGCTTCGTGCCCGCATGCGTTCCCCCCCACCAAGTGCAGCGCTTCGTGGCCCCATAGGGAGCTTCACCGAAGAAGGTTTTCACAATTGCGGTACCCACAACTGCATATGGTGGGTCCTTCGCCAGGAATTTTCAATTGTCTCGCTGCAGGCCCTTTTGGTATCGCTTGGCATCTGCTGGAGGATCATCACCGCCCGGCCCAGGAGGCACAGCTTTGGCTGCGCGCCATGGAACAGAAATCCGAGAAGCAGTTCCACCGGATGCGTTAGTTGGAGGCGATGATTGCTACTATTGTCCCCATTGTTTCCTTGAGCCGTTTGCGTGCGCGCTCGGACAAGGCCCTGATGGACCTTGAGGAGCAGATGACAGAGGCATTCCAACTCTAGGACGGCAGCATTCAACAGTTCCGTGATGACGCGGTTGAACCCCAGCTCTCGCATGTTAGTAAGATGGTTTACCGCCTTATCCGTATTCGTTATTGTTGCGTTCTCGAGGCCATGATCCCGTCCGCTGTGGATGCGCTTCGCACTGATCGCGCCCAGATTGAATCAGCCATTCGAAAGCACGGTGACAGCATCGTGTCCTACGTCGAGTCGTTGTGGAGGAGTGCCGTAGCATGCTTGTTGTGAAGATTGCCAAACTCCAGGCGATGGTGGTCAATCCCTCGGCGGCCACTGTTGCAAAGTGGATTTAGCGACCCCTCGATCGACCATGGGGTGACTGTCGGAAGCTAGTGGTTTCGCACCGCGCTAAGGTGAACGACTCCCCGTCGACAGTGCGCGAGCAGATCTTAATGCGGACCCACATTGCGTTCCACAACCTCACCGCCGATGTGTCGGCGTTGCGAGATTCGGCTGATCTGGTGCAGACGTATGGGGCTACAGTTTCTGTGACATCCGACTTGAAGGATCAGGTTGCGACCCATGAGGAGGCATTTTCATCAAGTGCGCAAGAAACGCCCCTACCCTTGTTCACGAGGCGTTGTGCGCTCACAATCTCTTGTGGGCTGACAGGGTAAACCCTGCGTGTCGCGCGTGTCGCGCGGCGTCCTGTCGGCTTTCTGGCCTTTCGGAGCTCCCAGGAGGTTTACAGACCAAGCACTTATATCCCAGGGTCGGGTTATGCTTTTACACCTCACGTTCAGCTGTTGACTGCTATGATGGGCACATAGCTTTACCCCAAATACAAAGTTGATTTCGGAAACTGTCGGCGCGGCCTTCTGGCAGGTTTTGGGGTCCGGTGTCATCAGAACGGCTGCGCGTGCCGAGCTAGCTCGCACGTGTCTGATCGCGTCGCGCCCGTTCTTGCTGATGTTCCTGTGGGCTGTCGGCGGCATGTGGTTTATTATTATGGTTATCATTATGTGTTATGATTGTTATTATGTTTATGATTCGTATTATGATGTTGATTCTTAGTCTTCTTCATCCCCGCCAGGCTCGTCTGGTGCTTCGGGCAGCACTGGTGGCGCTGGATCCGGGGTGGCCCCGCAGACGGGCACCGCGACGCCTCTTGCTGGATTTGGTCCAGAACCCTCCCCAGCTTCTGTTGAGCTCTGTGATGACGAAGAGATGCGCGGTGTTTGTGGGCGGAGATCACACGCGTGTTCAATATTGACTTGCGCCTGCACGTTCGAGGAGAAGTCGAACTGAACGCTGTGACCTGCTCCGTCATGGTGTTGCTGCCGTTGCTCTTCGTGGCCCTGGCGCTCCTCGCGGCGCTGGCCTTCAAGTCGGGATCGCTAGCTGTCGCTTTCGTGGGTTTCGCGTCATCGCCCTTCTTCATGGTGCCATGGGTCGTTCTTGGCATGCGTTTCCTGTTTCATGTCCCTGGGGTACCTCTTGCTATTCGGCCGGCTTCCGCCTCCCTCGGCTTCGTATCGATTCACTGGCTCATTGTGCAGGTGGTGGTTCTGAGTAAATCATTCAGTCAGACAGGGCGTGTCTTTCATGTTCGTCATCTCCCCCCTCATACTCGTCGTCGTCGTCGTCGTCGTCATAGTAGCAACTTTAGTGCGGTGTGTGCTGGGGGAGGGGATGAGCGGCTGCACGACCACACTCGTTGTGCTCAAGCTTTTGAGGGGCATGCAGGGTGCCGCCACGCGCTTCCTCGCGGAGTTTGCGCGCGGGGCATCGCAGGCCCTGGTGGTGTGGTCGGCGACTTCGGCCGCGCCGCCCGCCTGCCCTCCCTGCGCCTGCGAGTGCGCTCCCAGCTACCGTCTCTCGTGCCCCGACGTCGCAGGGGCCACCATCGTGCATCTGGTCAGTTCCTGGTGCAGTCACGTGGTTACCTTCTTGCTGGGAGTGCTGATCGGCTCGTTCGTGCTGCCCGTTCCCCTGAGCTGCGAGTGGCTGGTCGGGGGCCTATCCAGAGGCCGCCGCGGCACAGCGTCTACAACCGAGAGCTCGCCATCTGCCGCCTCGGCCGAAGAGATCCAGGCCATTGCAGCGCGGCAAGCTCGAGCAGCGATCCAGCATGTCGCGAGCAGGTGATGTGCACGCGATTCGTTATCGCGTCGGCGGGCGCTGGTGTTCCACGAGAGGATCACGCTGTTCGAAGCTCCCCCTTCGCAGGCGGTCATCGTGACAGTCGACGGGGACGTGTACTTGGAGACGGTGGTGGTCAACGCCGACTGCGAGGAGGCGAGGCCGCTGCGCGGGCTCGGTGCTCCTTTGTACGGCGTGGCGGAGGCCAACGTATACCGCTTCCGAGGTGCGCCTTCGGCGGCGGAGCTGTGGGGCCACCTGCGCGACGGCGCGCCGCTGCTGGGCGCCGCACTGCCGCCTTCGCCTTTCGCTCTGGCTGGAGGCGCTGGGGCGGGCGCTGCCTGGGTGCCCCAGGCGCTGGTTCTGGATGACCCCGTCGGCGCAGCCGTGGTTGCCCCCGCGGCGGCGGCAGGCGGAGCTGGCGCGGCCGCCCGTGGCGGCGGTGCTGGAGGCGACGGCGCGGCCGCGGGGTTTGGCGGCGCTGGCGCGTTGGCGGCGGCGCTGGGCGTGCCGCTGCCACTCCCCGGCGGAAGGGGAGGCGCAGGGGCTGTCGACGGCGGCGGCGGCGCGGCGGCTGCTGGGGCACTGGCGGCGGCGGCTCCCCCCGCGGCGGCGGACTGCCCTGTGTTCCCCGCGGCGTTGGATCCGCTAGGGCGTCGCCAGCTTGACTTCGCCGCGGCCGCGAAGGACTTGACTGCCACGCCGCGGGGCGACTGGCCGATCACAGGGCCCAGGACTACTCAGCGGTGCCTTGACCACGCAGGTGGCCCGCTCGCGTGGCACTCGAAGTGGAAGGCAGAGGCTCGGCTGCGGGACTCAGACGCTATCTGCCAGCAGCATGCGTTGAACTGCAGGCTGCTGGAGACGGCCACCTGTTACGACCAGCCCATCACTGCGGAATTGGCGGCGTTCGAGCTGGTGTGCCGCCAGGCCCAGCTCATCGAGGAGCGCCACTATGAGAATACCGTGTCGGCGCAGGTGGCCGCCGAGGACAGGAAAGATAAGAAGAAGGGCTTCGGGGCGAGCGAGAGTTTGTTTGCGTCCGAGGCCAAGCGCGCGTCGGAGGCCAAGCACGACATGGGCGCGGCGGCGAGCAAAGGGAACCTTTGCATCTCGCCAGCGCTCGCAGAGTTCATTGCGGAGCAGCTGAAGGCAGAGGCTGCTGTGGCCAAGGGGAGGCGCAAAGCCCGCGAGGAGCGGGCGGCGCGCGCATAGGCCGTCGGAAGCTTCTCCCAGGGGGGTGCGGGCGTTTCGGTGCCGCCTGGGCGATCTCCGCATTTTCGCGGTGCGCGTCGGCCTCCACCACATTCACTCCTCGCGGCGGTCAGCTGTTGCTCGCGCAGCTGCCAGCGATGGCGCCTGGAGCGCGCCAGCGGTATGTATTTCCCTTGCCGCCGCTTGCGCTGGATGAGCGCGCAGCCGCTTGCCGCGGCGGGCGAGGGCGGCAGCGCGCCCAGCGCGGGGCCGCCTGGAGGCGTTGGGCCAACGACGGCATCTCAGCGCTGAACCAGATGAGCGGTCACGGCGCGGGTGCGGCCGCGCCCCCAGGTCTGACAGCATCAGCAGCCCAGGCGAGCGCGATGGACCACATCAGCCAGGCTAATCGCGATGTTCTTCTTCCTCCTGACCTATCATGAGGACCGACCTTCTGGCGAAGCAGCCCTCGCAGAGCTGCTCGCATCGGCGCTTGGCTATTCCGCGGAGTCCCAGCGCGTCAAGCCCTACAGCAAGGACCTCGCGCCCTGGCCTGACATGTCTACGGGTGGGCCAGGCCGATCGTGAATGCTTGTTGGGATGGAGACGGACTATGGTCAGAGGTGAAGCGTCTGCTTCTTCTGCCCGAGCTGCGACAGCGCCGCAGCGGCCTTGCGCGGGCCCGATGTTGGCCAACAGCCCCCGTGTCTCGGCCGGTTTCGTGGGGGAGTTGCTTGAGGGTGGGATGATGAGTTTCCGCGTTGCGAGAGCTGCGGGCCCATGCAGTTTGGGATTTTTCTTTGTTGAGAACGTTCGCAAGGGCACCTTGAGACTCGTCTTCGACACCAGAGTTGCGAACGAGATTTCGAGACCCCGCCCAAGACGACACTTCCAACGGCTGCGGCCCGGACCGCTCTCGAATCGCGTCAGCCCGTCGTTCTTGCTCAGGGGGGCACCCAGTGCGCATTCTACCGCATGTTAGTTCCCAGGGGGATGGAGTTTTGTCTTGCTCTGCCCACCATATCTAACCATCTGGTTGGAATCAAGCAAATTGAGCGGTTGGCGATACCTAGTGACTGCTATCTAAAGCCGACGGTGCGCGCGCTACCGATGGGATGGAGTTGGTCACGGTTGTTATGTCAAAGCATCTCGCGCAGAGCTTTAGTGGAGAATGGGTTTGGCGACGGGTGTTTGATCGAGGACGGGCGACCTAGTCCCGTGCTGCAGGCAACTTCGCGTGTGGCCGCCGCGGGGTACGTTGACAACTTCGCCGTGGTGGGCTGCGACGTTGCTACAGTCACAGCCAAGAGGGGTCAGATCACTCGAGCGCGGAAGAGGCGTGGCTTGCCCGTGCAGTCCATCGATCAGGCTTCGCCGAAGACGATTTTCACTGGCCTGAAGGTGGGCGGCGGAAGAGGTACGGTACGTGTGAAGCCGTCCAGCCTCATCCGTTTGCGCCGGGCGATTCTGGCGGTGCTGCGGCGGGGGGCTGCCTCGCCTCGGTTGCTGGAAGTCTTGCTAGGGCGCATCACCTGGGCCATGATTTGCAAGAGAGACCCTGTCCATCCTCTCCTCCGTCAAGTCCCTCAAGGACCCCGACGTCAGGCCATCGTGGAACTCCGTGAGGTTCGAGCTCTGGTGCGTCGCTAGTACTTCGCCTATGTGGTCCTCGCACTTGGGTCTCCCATGGGGCTCGCGGGTCTCGGCTTCTGATGCGCCCCATATTGGGGGTCGGCGTCTGCACGAGGGAGCTGGAGGGGCCCATGGTGTCCAGGATGAGGAGGTTGACGGAGAGGTGGCGGCGCAGGTGCACTTCGGCCGCGGCCGCCAGGGCCAACGCCTTGGGCCTGGACGGGCCCAGCGCGGAGGAGGACTGCTTGGAGTCCGCGGGCGCGAACGGGTGCAAGTCGATCAACCCCGGGGCATCCGCCAAGGGCTTCTAGGAGATCCTCGAAGAGATCATGAATGCCTCCGAGTGGGTCGCAGTCATCTCGAGGAGGCACTGGGACTCCTGCAAGAACATCTTGGAGCTCGAGGGCGAGGCGTTGCGTGACGCCGTGCGGCACGCCCCACGCAACGTGCCCCATCCACCATCATCGTCATATGTTCCTCGTAGATAACCTTCGTTTGGCTCTGGCGGCTGGGAAGGGGCGCGGTCGTAAGCCCGTCCTTCGGCGACCTTTGCGGAAGGTCGCAGCCCGCGCCCTCGCGGTCAATTTCCGCTGCTATGTGCGTTGGCTGCCCTCGGAGCTGAACGCGGCCGATCGGCCGTCGCGCCATGCCTTCTCCAGCGGGGCGAGCTTCGAGGAGGCGACCGCGGCGCCGCCAGTTGCAGCCAGCGGAGAGGCAGCGGTCCACGACGATCCAGGCCGCCCGCGGGGTGGCCCACCTTTGCCCTGCGCAGTTGGCGGAGGGCTCGAACAGTTTCTGGGGGATGCCAGCTGTCGCGGACACGACGCGGGGGCGCTACCGCGGGCACGCCGCGAGGTCCCTGGAGTGGGTGACGCGGCGCGGCCTGGGCTTCGGCAGTTCCAGCCAGCTGGACGCGGTGGCGGTGGCGTTCCTCACCGACCTGGCCCTGGGCGGATTCGACTCTGCGACGGGCGGGATGCCGGCGGCGGCGCTCAGGCACTTCCTGCCCCACCTGTTGGGGGGCAAGCGCCCTTTGCCGCGGACGGCCCGCGCGCTGGACGGTTGGCGCAGGCTGGTGCCGCCGCAGATTCGGCCCCCTCTGCCGCGGGCTGCAGCCGCGGCGGCGGCGGGATGGATGATCTCGCGCAACCTGCCCAGCATGGCGGTGTTCGTCGCGCTGGTGTTCCACGCTTACCTGAGGCCGCCCGAGGCCTACCGCCTGCGGGTGGGATCGCTGGTGGCGCCGATCGCGGGGACAGGGTTCAGCTCGTGGGGGCTCATTGTGAACGATGCGAAGTCGGGCCGTCCTGGAAAGACTAGAGTGACCGACGAGTCGGTCCTGGTGGACGCCCCAGAGCTGTGGCCCGTGCTGCTCGCCTTCAGCGCCAACAGGGACGCGAAAGCCAGCCTTTGGAATTCCAGGCCCGCCGACGTTCGCGCCATGTTCGCCCAGGGGCTGATGGAGCTGGGCCTGCAGAAGGAGCCCCCCCTCGTTGTGCACCCTACGCCATGGGGGGGCCTCTCACGACTTGCTCTCGGGGTCCCGATCGATAGCGGAAGTGAAGGAGAGGGGTCGGTGGGCGACGGACAAGTCGTTGAGGAGATGCGGCAAGCGCACCCGGACGCAGCAGAAAATCGGGGACCTGCCGCCAGAGGTCGCGGCTTTCGGCAATCAGGTGTTCGAGCGGCTGGCGGAATTGATCGCGCTGAGTTTCGTCGGAGGCGAATTCCCTCTGCCAGTCCCGCTTCAACCTTTGCCCGCCATCCCGCGGGCCGCGAAGCAGGCGCCGGTTCTGACCTTGCGCTAGCGTCTCGCTTGAAAGCCGTGTTTCGGCGGGCCCATGCCTGGGCTTCCCTCCGCAGGCGGCCCGTTTTGCTTGTGGTGAGGCCTCGCGGGGCCCCCATATGCAAAGCGCTGCGCAGTCGCGGGCTGGGTTGCCCCAGGTTAGGGGCGGGTCGGAATGCAGGCCTCGGTCTGTCTCAGCAGTTGGTTGTCGATCGAATTCTCGGGTGGATTCGATCGTCGGCAGTCTGCGCTCTCTGGCTGTCTCTGCCAAGGGGCACCTGGTGTCAGGTTTGTCCTCGGCCAAGTCGCTCGGAGGCTGATCCGTGGGGCTGGCGTGGCCGTGCTGCTGAGGTCAGCGTTTTGCCGTCGATCTTTTGTGACAGTGTAGAGTTGTGTGCCGCTACATAGCTTATCCGTGCGTGCATTAAGCACCGTGCCCCCGTCTGTTTCGAGCACCCGCGTAGTAGTGTCATCTGGAATGTAACACAGTTAGCTCGGTTAATGAATCACCCTTCTTTCGATGACGTTCAGGTGGGCCTCTGCCAACTCGGTGCTGCCATTCGCTCGTCCACGCGCGTGGCTTGCTGGCACTGCCTGGGCATGCGTCGTTTCGCGCGCGTGTGTCATAGTACTGCGTTTGTGTGCTCGCATCCGGGGCGGCCGCACTTGCGTTTTGATGGCCGTTCGGCTAACGGCATCGCGCGCAGACACAAGGCTGCCCGCCTTCCCGTTCGAGCTTCGGAGTTAGTGGCAGACTCGATCGTGGCAGCTATAGGAGAATTGTCTCAGGCCCGTAGGTCTGTGCTTGGCGGCCTTCGGCCATGATGTTAGTGTTACACAATGTACGTCTGTGCTGCCGCGAGTGACCCGTGCACTCTGGGAGTCGATGCCGTCGTATCTTGCCATCGCCACCGTCAGCTTCTCTAATACGTTTGTCCTGGCCGCGGCGTCCCGACCTGGCGTAGTAGCAACTTTAGTGCGGTGTTTGCTGGGGAAGGGGATGAGCGGCCGCACGACTACATCCGTTGTGCTCAAGCTCCCAACCCCATTCGCCCTCGCTTGAGTGGTTTTGAATCGATGTATGTCTGCGTCTGTGCTGCCAAGAGTGACCCGTGCACTCTGGGAGTCGATGCCGTCGTAGCCTGCCATCGCCGCCGTCAGCTCCTCTAAAAAGTTTGTCCTGGCCGCTGCGCCCCGACCTGGCATCATCATCATCACCACCACCAACATCAACCACATCATAATAATAAAAAGAATAACCATCATCAGCACCGGTATCATCGTAGCCATTTGCTCAAGCTGTTGCTTGGTCTTGGTTTCCTGGTGCCGTTGCACCCGCTGCCCCCCGCTCGCCTGCTGCCGACCCGATGGTCGTGGCCGCGAGGCTGGACTGGCTGCGCAGGCGCACCTCGGATGGCGATCCTGGTCGACTGCACATACGTGCGACGCTGGCTGGATCCCAAGAGATGCAACGCGAAGGTGGTTCTTGCGGCTAGCGACGTGGCCATGACCCCAATTGTCCAGGCGTTCCTGCTCGGCAGCCTGGGTACGATGGAGGCTATGATGCTGGACCGTGTGGTCGTTGATCGTTGGTATAGGTATTCGAATGGACCTGTCGAGGCGTCGTTTTGGATTTCGGACGCACCCATCGTTCCTGGCGATCGTGCTCATGAAGGCGGCGGCGACGGACGTCCATCTGATGACCCTGGCAACGGTGGTTGGGATGGATCGCCTGATTGTGGAGGCGGTGGCCGTCGTTATCGCTCTGATGATCGCCCCGACCCGTGGCACGGGCCTGGTGCGAACGATCTTGGGATGCTGCTGGCCTGTGGGAGCCAACACAGAAAACACCACGCCAGCAGGCCTCTGCCGCGGGCGATGGTGGGCGCACCGCGAGGATATCATTGCCGCTTTCATCCAGCACCTGGTAGAGAAGAATTTGTGTATCATTGCGGAATATATTGGAGCGCGTTGTCCTGCTGAGCATGTGCAGGTTCCTTTTGACAGTGCTTCGCATAGAGATCCACTTCCTTGTGATGTTGAGCATTCTGAGTCGGTTCGTGCTTGTCCTCCTGGCGCTGGCGTGTTCATTCGGACCAGTCGTGACCGCCCCCCTAAAGAACGGTGATCGTGCTCCTGCTTCTGATGAGTTTCGTGGTGTGGTGGTTTCGGGACCCGCCGGTTCTTCTTCCTCGGCTTCCTTACCCGTGGCGCCGGTTTCCCCGACCCTCGGGGCAACTGGTGGCGAGGCGGATCTTGTGGACCTTCCTGGCGCTGATCGCTCCGACGTTCGTCAGCAACTTCTAGGCGGCGGTGTGCGTCTCTTGTCTGGTTCCTGCCTGTCCTGGCGCTGGTGCGCGTCCTTCTCGGGTGGAAGTTGAGGCGGCTTTTCCAAGAGCAACTCGAGGCGATCGTTTCGCGTTTGGATGTAGATCTGATGGCATTGTTCGTTCCAGTCGGGTGGTGCGGCTCTCGCCCGAGACTGAGGAATTGGAGGCCCTGGACCCCGAAGTTTGCGATGAGCCCCTCCCTGCTGATGCTGTTCGTCAGGGGCCTCTCCCGTGTTCTGAACGCACTCCGGAGCTGGCCCGCTGTAGGCAGCTGCTTCTGGAGACTGGATATGCGCCGCGACGTGCCGCCCGCCCTCTTCTCGATGCGCCCGGCCGCCGAGACCCTCCCCGTTTCAGTGTTCGCAGGTGGCTGCATGAGTGGGTTTATCTTTGACGATCTCGTGCGGATCGCGGCTTCTCTAGAGAAGTGGTTTAGGAAGTGGTTGATGGTCGCGGCCTTCCGCAAGGTGGTTCAGGAAGTGGCTTCGGTGGTCTTCCAGCGTTTGCGGGTGGCGCGGCCTGGTTGATGGCGCGGGCTGCGCTGTCGCAGGTGATGCCGCGCACCGCTTCTCCCAGTCCCAAGTGGCGCCGCGCACCTGCGTCGGGAGTGGTCCAGCTTGCGCGAGAGGCTCCAGCAGACGCGCTGGGATCATAGATCGCACCCTTTCGCATTGAGTTACACGTCGGATGCCTGGCAACGTGCAGTTGTCTTGTGCATTGCCCCCCAGTGCGTATGCATTTTTCGTGTCGAAGGTTGGCTCAGGCGGTTGGGTCCCTCTCCCAGGGAGTGACTGCGGTGGTCTGCCTGCGCCTTGTGGGTGGCTGATGGCGCGGGCCGTGTTGTCGCAGGTGGCGCTGCACACCTCTCCCCCCCCACCCCCCGGGGAGCGGCTTCGGTGGTCGACCCTCGGCCTGAGGGCGGCGCGGCCTGGAGGATGGCGCGAGGTGTGCTTTTCCAGGTGGCGCTGCATGCCCGTGGTCATCGACGCAAGAAGAAACTGAATGTTTAGGCGCGCTGGGGGGCAAAACACTTCATCGCCATCAGTATCGCCATCACCATCACCATCATCATCATCATCATCATCATCATCATCATCATCATCATCATCATTATCATCATTATCATCATCATCAGCATCAGCATCATCATCATCATCATCATCAGCATCAGCATCAGCATCATCATCATCATCATCATCATCATCATCATCATCATCATTATCATCATCATCACCATCATCATCATCAGCATCAGCATCATCATCATCATCAGCATCATCATCATCATCATCATAACCATCATCCGCATCATCGTCATCATCATCATAATCCCGCTCGTCCTCCTCATCGTCCGTCGCCTCCGCCTTACTCAAGAGCCTCACGCCATTCGCGCCGACCCCTGGGCGAAGAGGTGTGGCGTCCGATGTCGCATGTGTTGTTTGCCGTTTCTCGTCGCGCTGCCTGCGTGCAGTCGTTGCTGATTCGTCTTCCTCAACCTTCGTGTCTGTTGCTGGGCTTCTGGGGGCATCTTGGAGGCCTCGGTTGTGGTCTCGCGGGAGCCGTTTGATGGCGCCTGGCTGTTTTTGGATGCCCTTGGGGGGCTTCCTGGCTGCATGTTGGGGGTCTTGGGGGCAACCTTGTGGGGGGGGGGCTCGCGGGCCCCTGTGAGTTCCCATTATTTGGCCCCTCTTTTGCCCCTCTTGGGGCCCTCTTGAGGGCCTCTTAGCAGCCTCGGGGGCCTCATGGGCAGTCTTGGGGCACCTGGGTGGGGCCGTCTCCATGTTCTCTTGGGTGTTTGTGGGGACTCTCCCGGGCCGACCTGGGGGGGCCTCGCTGGCCGCTTCATGCCTGCATGAATTCGAAAAGGCGGGAACGCGACAACATGCAAAGACACGCAGGGAAAATCTAGGATGTTTGCCCCCATTGGGGCACCATTGGGGTTCTCATCACAGCGGCGTCTTGGTCGCCTCTTGGGCCGTCTTGAGGCCATCTCTGGTATCCTTGATGCCTCTCCAGCGTGTTGGAACTTTTCTTGAGCCATCTTATAAGGCATCTCGCGTCTTGGCGGCCCGAGGGTACCAGAGGTGCCCGCCCCTGGGCGAAGGGGAAAGAGGGATGGGAGCGGCCGTGTCGGCGGATGCTCGTGGATGCGCATACTTTTCGGACAACATGGATATTTTCATTGTGCAGGGAAGCGTGCATTGGCAGCAATCCTCTGGACGCTGGCGTCCCTCAGAGCTGCGAAGCCCAGAGCCCTACCTGACGCTTGGCTGTCGGAATCCTTGCGAACCGCCAACGAACGACCGCATGGCGGAGGCATCGGGCATTCTATTTTCTCTCACCTGCTTACCCTCAGCAGTGTTCTGGCTCAGAGCCCCTGTCTTCGAGCCGCCGCCCACCGGCCATGGAGAGGCTGCTGGGCGTCGCGGCGGCTCGCGGCCCCCTCGCATCGGCCCCCGCCCCAGCGTTTGCTGCGATCTTCTGCACCCAGTCGGATCCCATCACTGGCCACGAGCTCACCCGTCGCCCGCCGCCAGGTGGCTCGGCGCCCGCCGTGCGGCCAGCTCCGCCTATCTGTCGATCGATTTGTCGATGTGTGTCTATATGTCTAGAAACTAATTTCGATATGTATATATATATATATAGAATATATAATATATATATATATATATACACACACATATCTCCCCGCGCACGAGGCCCGGGCGCCCGGGGCCCGGGCCTCAAGCGCGCATGGTGGGACCGGGGCCTCCGAGACCGCTCCCAGAGATCCCTGGAGGGACCGTGGAGCCCCCAGACTGCCCCAGAGAGCCCCAAGACGCTCCCAGAAGCCCCCAGGGGACTTCGACAAGCCCTTCCAAGACAGCCCTGATGGCCCCAACGTGGCCCAAGATGGGCTCCAGACCGCACATGCACAGCCCAAGAGGCCTCCAAAAGGCCTCAAGAGAGCTCCGAGAGGCGTCCCGAGAGAGCCCGAAGAGGCCAAAATCGTTGATTTCCATTGTTTTTTCTCTATGCTTTTCGGTTTCTCGCGTTTTCGAACTTCCGCCGCTCCAAGACGGCAGAAGACGCCCCGAAGGTCGCCCCAAGACCGGCGAAGCGGCCCCCAACAGAGTCCCAAGACGGCCCCAGGGAGCCCGAAAATTACCTAGGATCCGGGGCGGGAATTTATACATGACCACCGCCTGGAGAGTTAGTGTTCGGAGCCTCGGCAGGCGGTGGATGTGGACATGTTCGGACCCCCAGGGGCCGAAATATATCCATATCCACCGCCCGCTGGGGCACCAGGACGTCGGTTCCAAGGCGGTGGATGTGGATAAACCCCCGTTCCGCACAGGAGGAGCCTCAGACGGTCCAAGAGAGTCCCAGGACAGGCCCAAGCTGGGACACAGCGGGAGCAGGAGGCCCCAAGGCGCTCCAAGACGGCCCAGATGGCCCCAACGTAGCCCAAGATGGGGTCAACACGGCCAATACACAGCCCAAAAGTCCTCCAAGAAGCCAAACGAGAGCTCCGAGAGGCGTCCCGAGAGAGCCCGAAGAGGCCCATATTCTTGATTTCTGCTTTTTTCTATATTTTCCGTTTTCTCGCGTTCTCGAGCTTACATCCAACGCTCCAAGACGGCAGAAGACGCCCCGAAGATCGCCCCAAGACCGGCGAAGAGGCCCCAAACAGAGCCCCAAGACGGCCCTGGAGAGCTTGAAGACTGCCCAAGAGCAGCCCAAGACTGCCCAAGAGAATCCCAGGAGAGGCACAAGATGGGCCCCAGAGCGGGAGCGGGAGGCCCCAAGGCGCTCCAGGACGGCCCAGATGATTCCAACGTGGCCCCAGAGGAGCTCATGACGGCGAACACACAGCCCAAGAGGCCTTCCAAGAGGGCCCAAGAAAGCTCCGAGACACGTCCCGAGAGAGCCCAAGGAGGCCCAAATCATTGATTTGCATTGATTTGTTAAATGTTTTTCGCGTTCGCGCGTTCTCGAGCCTCCAATGCCCGAAGACGGCCGAAGACGCCCCCCAGACCGCCCCCAGACCGCCGAAGAGGCACCCAAAAGAGCCCCAAGACGGCTCCAGAGAGCTTGTAAATTGCCGACGAGGGGCCTCGGACGGCCCAAGAGGCCCCAGGACATGCCAAATATGGGCCACAGAGCGGGAGCGGGAGGCCCCAGGGCGTTCGAAGACGGCCCAGATGGCCTGGGTCTACCCCCTCCGTCCCTCCTTCCCTCCCGCCCCCTTCCCTTGCCTCCAGTCCCTCCTCTCTCCTCTTCCTCCCCGCACCCCTCAGCTTTCGTGCTCCTCCCCTCTCTCTTGGGACGGCCCCGCCAAAGCGCCAGACAGTCCCCGCCAGAGCGAGCGGGCCATCGCTGTACCCGATCATTTCACAAGTTGCTTTGCCCTGCCCACCCCTCAATGGCAGCCCGGGCAGAGCGAAAGGGGTGTCGTTGTACCATCTACAGTCCCTGTTCTGTCTTGCTCCTCCCACCGCACCCGGGGTAGCCCCGTCAGAGCGCACAGGGTGTGGCTAGACCGTCGCTTGCGTCAGGTTTCGTGTTCCTCCCTTCCCTCCTGTGCAAACCCCGCCAGAGCGCCAGGGAAACCCCCGCCACAGAGAGCAGGGCATCCCGACACCATATTTTTTTCTTTCACACGATTCTTGCTCCCCCCACCCTTGCAGGGCGGACCCGCCCGAGCGAGCGGGGTGTGGCTGTACTATACAATTTCTCAGATTTCGCGCCCCTCCCTGACCTCCTGAGAGGCCTCGCCAGAACGCCAAGAACCGCCAGGGGGCCCGTCAGAGCTCCAGGTAGCCCCATACGTGGGACGTGCGAGGCAAATCTTTGAGCAGCCCCCGTGAGCCCGAACCTTCTGCTCCCACGGTGCGATTATCGCTGGCATGAGGTTCGATGTCCAACACAAAGGAGCCCCCCCACTCCCGTGGACGCAAACAAAATTGCAGAGAACGGCGCTGATGAGCAGGACATGTGCGCGCGCCCTCTGCAGAGACCCGACAGCTGAACGACCGCTGAAAACGAGAAGCCTGGAGCACAAGGAAGAGGAGCACAAAACAACGCGCTCCCACGCGCGCGCCACGAGGCCCCGAGCCAACCCCGACAGCAGTCGGCGCGTGTCTGCGTGATCGGGCATGGGGAGACCGAAAGAATGTGCAAACAACATTGAGTGTCACGACGGGGCAGGGCGGAGGTGAAAGTGTAGGAAAAACGCAGTTCGTTAAAGCAAACAAAGGCGGCAGCGAGATTGTGAGATACGCGGGAACGTGGCGCCCCGCGTTCTGACTACGCGTTTCTTTGCGTCGATGGCATGGGCCCGGGGACGCTGGAATCGTCGTTGTGGCCACAACGGGGTTTACAGCGGTACCCGTGGCTCATCTGCGAAAAGAATTTGAGCGCGCGCGTAGCGCGCGCGTGGTTCTTATGTATATATGTATATAGACATAAACATATACACATAAACATCTACATGGCTACACACATATAGCTATATGTATGAATAGACATATACACATGTCAATATATGCTGATATATATATATATATATACACATATACGACCACCCTTCAGGTGATAAGGAGGTTCGGGGGGGGGACCAACGTCTCACTCGATCGGTCTCACCATCGGTCCCAGTATCGATCTCACTATTGGTTTCGCCCGATCGATCTCACTCGATCGATCTCACTCGATCTATCTCACTCGATCTATCTCATTCGATCGATCTCACAATTGATCTCACAATCAATCTCACAATCGATCTCACATTCGGTCTCAATATCGATCTCACTATCGATATCACAATCGCTCTCACAATCAACGTCATCATCATCATCAGCATCATCAACATCAACATCATCACCAACATCGTCATCATCATGAGGGCACCGCCATCATCATCATAAACATCATTATCAACGTCAGCATCATCATCGGGACAACATAATCATCGTCATCACCATCATCATCTCATCATCAACATCATCATCATCATCGGGACACAGTCATCGTCAGCATCATCAGCAGCATTACCATAATCATCATCATAATCGGGACACCATCATGATCACCATCGTTCTCATCATCAACATTACCATCAACATCGTCATCATCCTCGGGACACCATCATCATCATGATCATCGCATCATCATCATTATCGACATCATCATCATCACCAACAGCATCATCATTGGGGCACCATCATCATCATGAGCAACATCATCATCAACATCGTCATTCTCATTATTATCATCATCGGGACACCATCAGCATCACCATCATCATCACAATCATCCGCATCATCATCGGGACACCATACTCATCATCAACATCATCATCATCATCAACATCATTCTCGCCGGGACACCATTTCCGTCAACATCATCATCACCAACATCATCGGAATCATCATCATCATCATCATCATCGGGACACCATCATCGTCATCATCATCAACATAATCATCATGAGCATCATCATCCTCATCATCGGGACACTATCATCATCATCGACACCATCATCAACATCATCATCATCTTCATCGGGACACCATAATCATCATCATCATCATCATCATCATCATCTCATCATCATAATCCTCGCGGGACACCGCGGGACACCGCGGGACACCGGCGGGACACCGCGCGGGCCCCGGCCGCCCGGAAGGGAATCATTTGGTCCGGCCGCGCCTCAGCCACACGGGACACCGCGGGACACCGGCGGGACACCGCGGGGCCGCCGCCCGGAAGGGAGTCATTTGGTCCGGCCGCGCCTCAGCCACAGGAGACTTTCTCTCGCCCGCCCACGCAGCTTCGCCTCGCCCGCACGGCACGCACGAACACGAAACCGAAATCGATTTCCCGGTAGGGGGGGGGCTCTCCGTTCCACTTCGATCTCACCCCCCAACCTCCGATATATATATATATATATATATATATATATATATATATATATATATATATATATATATATATATATATATATATATATACATATCCCTGCGCACAAGGCGGGGGGGCACGGGAGGGGCCCCCCGACACTCCATGGGTGTGTTGGGCCGCCCAGGACGCCTGCAGACAGCGCAAGAGAGCCCCAACACACCTGAACAGTGTTGCGAGAGGCTTCCAAGAGGCCTCCAGTCGCGGACATATTGTTCGAACGCACCCAAAATGGCTTCCAGATGGCCCACAAGGCTTCCAACACGGCCTTAAGGCTCTCAGCCCCCAAGAGGCCCCAAGAAGCGTCCCAGGGGGCCGAAAAGGTCCCAAGAGACTTCCACGAAGGCCCCAAGAGGCATTCATCATTGTCTTGCCATCGGTTTTTGATTAATGTTCAAGGTTTCAGTCGTAGGGCGCCCCGACGCTCCAAGACGGCCCAAAAGGCGTCCAAGACCGTCCGCCTCCAACAGGGTTTCAAAACGGCCCACGAGGGCCCCAAGAGGGTGCCTGAGG